AATGGGCCGCTGGTTTCCTCTTTGTAAGTTTTTCATAGAAATCTAAATAATAATGGTAATAATAATAGTAATATCTTAAAATTTCTTACCTGTCCAAGATGAAAGTTTCATCTTCTTCTTTGAGAGCTAAAATTTGTTTTTTCCTGATGATCATTCAATGATTTAGCCTTTTATGCTTTGATTACCTTCAATTCATTTCTTTGAAATTTTGCAAATTTCGAATAATAGATTTTTGTTTTCTGATCGGCTGCTGTTTTTATTTCTCTTCGTTTCATCGTGAGTCCTTTCGCTTACTTCGTGATTTTTGTCAGACTGTCCTCCTTCAAAAAATGCTTTCCGCCATTTTTATAAATGCTTTCGTTATATCCGTACTCATTACGTTAATGTCCACTGATTCATCTTCTTATTGCATATCATGAATGAGTTGAATCAATGATTTAGGTGGTGAAGGTGACTTGCGATGTAAAATTGAAATATTCATAACTCTGAAGCAGTTTATGCCATTCATTGGTGCCATCGAGCTTTCAGGGAACATCATCTGGTCTTAATGATTGTGACACATTACCAGCTGAACTTCATCGTCCGGCAGAGGCGTGGATGACCACAGGCAAAATGTGCATATATTCAACGTAGATTACTAATGATGACTTGGGCTCATGACCGAAGACTTCAACTTGAATTCGAGAATATGGAGTTTGTTCTGTGAATGTGGCATTCTCCCGGTGAGGAAGCCTACCTTCATCGAAATGTTGTATTGGGGTCGTGGCGCGTCTTCAAAGCGGAAGGAGCGAATTTTGGATTCTAGCATATGATTAGTGGAGAAACTGTGGACTGCTTTGACTATGTTGGGTATGTGTTCGTTTGGAAAGGGGTTGGGGTGGTGTAGATGTCGATTTGAGCATTTCTTCACGATTCACATTGCTTCAAAGTCAGTAGTCCTCTACATAATTAAGTACTTTGTAATTAAGAGCAAGAAGAAAAACACAGAACGAGTGGTACTCACACGTTTGTTTCATAAAGAGGCCTTCGAATCTGCTTTGAGCCTGACATTAGAAGTATGGAAAGAAGAACCAGGTATTATACAAATTTCTCGGCCATATTGCGGGACAAGACACAGTCGAATATTGCTTCGTACCTCTAAGTGGCTACGAGAAGCCATCATTAATCTCCAGTGATCCAGTTAATTAAGTAAAATGTTATGGATTGAAATTTGTATATCCCGTTCATTAAACAATTTCGCTTGAGTGAAGGATAGAACTTGTGAGGGTCACGGATCTCAGACATATTTAAAGAGACCGTGGTGAACCATGCTGGTATTTAGCATCTTGGTAGAGAAAGACGTTTTCACTGTTCTCCTGATAATGGAATACTCCAGATATGAACTTCCAATTTCTCTTGACCAAAAGCAGCAATTGGTCACTTGCAGCAAGATCTGCCGTACCATCAAGGTCCCTTCGAAAATCATCATAGCTTCTTCTCCACCAATGGAGTAATTACAGCACCCTCCCACCAAGTGCAGCAGTTGCACAGGACGTGACTCATTTTGATAATTGGAGTTGTGCAACAATTTTTGAAAATTGGCAGAGGTTTCACACGGTGCCCAGCTTGTACCCATTCTCAATGGACGATGGGTGGTAGAAGTAAAATATGTCA